CCCCAGGAAAGTATGGGACTCACGTTGGCCCTCTCTTCATCCTCCATTTGTTGTACATCTCAGTGTCGGTGTGGGCTTGCTTCCGCATCTTTTGTCAGCCTTCTGCACGAGACGTTGAGCTATCAGTAAGAACCTGACCGCCGCCCCTCTCACAGAGAAAACACCTACTTTTATTGCCCTTAGTCCAATCCATCAGTGAGTCCGTCTCAGGTGTCTGTGAGATTATTCTGACGAGTAATTACCACCACAGAAACAGTGCAAAAAAAATGTATGGGCACATTTCTCAGAGTCATTATAAGTTAGGCAAATATGTCTTTGATAGTAGATATATTTAAACATAACTGAAGTTTAAACAGATGCCCATTTATTGGTGACATTTTTTTCTGAAGGGCAGCACAGTGGCAAGGTGGTTAGCACTGCTGCCGCACAGCATCAGCATCAGGCTGGGGTCTTTCTGTGTGGAGTTTGCATGTTCACCCTCCGGGTACTCCGGCTTCCTCCCACAGTCCAAAGGCATGCAGTTTGTGGGGATAGGTTAATTTGTTAATCCAAATTGCCCATAGGTGTGACTGTGGGAGTGAATGTGAGCGCGAATGGTGTCTGTCTCTGTGTGTTAGCCCTGCGACAGACTGGCGACCTGTCCAGGGTGTACCCCGCCTCTGTGAAATAACTGCGATCTACCTTATATCCACAAGGTAAGGGTTAAAGTGTCTTATCTGCTGGAAACACATCCATACTTTGCATCTGCAAATGTTAGTGTTGCTGTTGTGTTCTCAGGACATCGAGGAGGCTCACAGGGCAGGCTTGCTCCGCAGACCTGTGGACTTGGTATTCATCATCTACCTCATTCCAGCGCTGGCTTTCTGTGTGTTCAGAGGCCTGGTAAGAAACCTCATGGTGATCGGCTTGCCCAGCTCTAGATTACTTTCTTAGCGTTGGGTGTCTCTCACATATCAAACTGTTATGTTATGTGTTCGAGGTTGTTCTTGACTGTTCCAGCAAATGGTGCCAAGACTACACACAACAGTATGAGCCATACCTCAAAGACCCTTCAGCCTACCCTAAAGTACAGGTAACACGGTGACAGTAAACACTCCAAAAACGTCACTCTAATGCTGTAATGTTAAGCCACATATCTAAAAAAGTAAACTGTGTCTCTGTTTGACAGATGCTGGTGAGCATGCTGTATTCTGGGCCCTACTACATCATTACTCTGTATGGGCTGTTGGTCCCAGGATGTGACTGGATGCCAGACCTGACTCTTGTACACTCAGGAGCATTGGCACAGGTACTGTTGATCTCCGTATACAATGAGGGGCCCCTCACAAGTTAGAGACACCTAACGTCTCTAACTTGTTCCGAATATCTGGAAACCAAATGTGTAAGTGATGAAAGGGTTGCCAGGTTTTAAAAATGAAGGTCATGTGAAAGAGTCGTTTACAGTCTTTTCTTTTCCCACATGACATCATAGATCCAGGTAGATTATGTAATGTTACACAGAGACTGAGAGCCGGCTTCTGGCCAGTTCGGTAAACTTTCTCCTCTGTAGTGATTGCAAGTTGGTCTTTGTTTAGCGTACTCTTCAGAGCTGACAGACTCCAGTGGCTCTATTTACATCTAAAGATGGAAAGGGAAGAGTTGTGGGAGCGGCTATCGCGCTGATCACATCTCCACTGCACAATGCAGCCATTGTGTTTGAGCTGCAGGCTGGCGCGTCACTCATCGGCAGGATAAGGGCAGAAGCTGACTTCAGACCAAGAGGAATGGTGGTATTGGTGGTATTCACTTAAATGTCAGCTGTTCAGCCAGGATATAAATAGGAAGGTTGATCCTCTGGCAGCCTTGGTTGCTATGAAACATGTCATGTGTCAGCAGCTTTCTACGAAAAGGTAAATGACAGAAGTGTATTAGATTGAAAATCATATGAGGATCAGTGGTGGTGCCAGAATGCAGGCATCGTCAGTCCAGTAAAGGAATAATTCATTCCAAAACAGCTGTTACTTTGTTTTTGTATGCTTCAAATGGGTTTCCTGTGTAAGCCCTTCTTGCTCTGTTATTGTAGATAGATCATTGCTTCCAGCAAGAAAATGTGGGCTTTAGCATCACAGGATTTCCTATAAGATTTATGACTTTGAACTGATGTTTAATTTACTAATACATGATAATAAGACAATAATGTGCCCAAATGTCTCACTATCCCAGACCACTGAGATTCTGTGGGACAAAACAACAACTAAAAATCTTAGTTATTATAGTTTTTTATTTTCTATTATTTTCTGTTTTGATTTTTTTTAAAATTCAGTTTAGTTTCAGTTAGGATATTTCTGCTATATTCCTATTTTATTTTTGTTAGTTTTCCAACTTCACAAAACAATTACAGTTATTTTAATATTTGGTTTTTATTTCTGTTAACTAACATTTTTCTACTTTTGGTTTTTAGTTTGGTTTTAGTTAACTATATTAACCCTGGTGCTGACATCTAATTCTATCTTGTTTTCTAAAATTCATAATTCTTCCAGCGCTTCGGTTGTTCAATTACAACAACAAAAAAAAAGGGGGGGGGGGGGGGTAGAAAATTGAAGTGATTCTATCATTTATTTTACATCATGAGCTCAAAATATTGTTAAAAATGTAAGAGATATTTAAGACCAAGATACACGGTATGGACAAACGTATTGGGCAGCAACTTTTAGTGACTGAATTCAGGTGTTTCGTTCAGTATTGAGCTGTGCAGCCACCCTTTATAAACATTTGTGTAAGAATGGGTCCTTCTAAACAGCTCACTGAATTTGAGTGCAGCAAGTCAGTGTCTGAAATTTCTTCCCTTCTAGATAGATATTGCTTTGGGGCTTGTGTTTCTGGCCTGTACACTTTAGTTCCAGTGGAGGGGACTCTTAAAATTTCAGGTTACAAAGACATTTTTGACTATTAACAGTTTAGGGAAGGGCCTTTTTCTTTCCCAGCATCTCTGTGCACCATGCCATAAAGCAAGGCCCATGAAAGTTTGGTCAAATAAATAGAGTGGAAGAACTTGACTTGACACAGCCCTGACCTTAACCCCATTTACCACCTTTGGGATCAACCAGAATGGAGGTTGTGAGCCGACCCCTCTTGTCCAACATCAGTGTCAGGCCTTGCAAATGCCCTTCTGGGTGAAAGGGCAAATATTTCTACAGGCACCGTTCAAAATCTTGTAGAAAGCCAGAAGAGTGGAAGCTATAGCTGTAAACAGGGACCAACTCCATAGTAATACCTATGAATTCACAGTGGGATGTCAAACAAGCTCCTGCAGATGTAATATGTAGGTGATCTTTGTCCATATAGTGGTTATATAAGAATCTTGGTGAACATACCAGCTGTGAAGCACATGCTTATTATCCCTCTCTGCTGCATTTCACAGGCCCAGTTCTCCCACATCGGTGCATCTCTTCACACACGGACACCGTTTTCATACAGAGTACCTGTGGACAGCCAGCCTGTCTTCTTGCTGGTCAATGTGCTGTACATGCTGGTGCCTCAGGCTCTGTGCTACCGCTGCTGCACACAGCCCGCCTTCTTCCTCAGGACAGCGCCAGAGAAGAAAAATGAATGACAGACTGTCGGGGGGACAGAGAGAGTGCCACAGATGCCAAAGATGCCTAAAATAAAGGCCCGAAGAACTCGCAAATTCCTGCTGTGTTTGCAGTTATTAGCGGTTGCTATTTTAGAGAGGAAACTGCCACCTGTAAACTTCATGGGGTTATGTGGAGGTGCTAGAAATAGACAAAAATGGAAATTGTGCCATCTACTGTTTTTGATCTGCCGCTTTTTATTGAAAATCTCTGTGTGTAAAGCAGCAGCATCCACATAAGGCACACACAATGTTACACTGCAGGCAATGGTGCGTTAGAGTTGTGTAACAGATTGATATGACTCACAATAGTCATTGTTTGGTATAAAAACAAAACTGTCGTTTGTCGCTGAGATTTCTGCACAGTGTCTACTTGGCAAATAAATTAATGTGACTGTGCCTTTCACAGTATTTATTAGCTAATAGCAATTTTTTAAAATTTCTTTTAACTTTTTGTTTTTTTATTCAGTGTGGTTTCAGTCAGTTTGCAGAGTGGGTTCCCTTGATTCAGTTTAGTTTTAATTGTCTGAAAATGATTAGTTTAAGTTTGGTTTTTAGTAGTTTCCTTGTTAGTCTGAGTTTCCTCAATTACATTTTAATTATTATTGTATGCCAAGGGCAAAATTTAGGAAAATCCTTACAGCTAATGCAATGAAATCTGTAACAAACTAACAAATACTAAACTTAAGGATATTTTCTATTAATTTTTTTCTTTTCCAAGTTCACAAAATCATTTAATTTCATTTTTTGGTCTAGTTTTTATTTTTATTTTGTTAACTAAAATGGGGTTTGTTTGTTGTTGTTGTTGTTTTTAACATCTAGTTCTAATTCACAAGCACTGTCTCCCTGCATTAAACAGTTACATCCGTTATATCTGACACCACCACCATCCCACTTTTAGGCGCTCTCTAGCCCTCATACAATCCTGCTTTCATCTTAATGGGATTAATTGTGATGAAGAAAAGCATAGCACTGAAATGAAATAATAGTTATGGAAAAAAAAAAAAAAATCTAAACCTGCCCTTGTACTGCCATTGCACCGCCTCTTTATTTCATCCTTTGGGTCTTTTATAATCCTCTTGTGTGCTACATGCTGTGTTATTATATTTGGCCTGTATTTTGTTATTTGTTAATCAAGATGCTCTATAAAATGATCTCTGATGATAGTTAATAAAGTTGTAGACAGACTTTTTTTTGTACACAGACTTAAAAAAATAGATTATACTGAATAGAGAGCAGACCTTTTATTCCCTTTTAAAAATCAAAGTATTTAGTTTAAACCAGAGGGGAGTTTTGTTTTCAGTATTAAGTAAGAAGGTGGAGAAGTTGTGAGTGGAGAAAGTGGGGTTAGCCCCCAGTTCCACAGGATAGCCATAGCACCATGGTTTAGTCTTAGACCAAAACCTCATTTAAGGATTTAGGAAAACAAAAGAGCAAAAGCTAATTTAGCTTTTTCTAAGGTGGTAGAGGAGAGATGAAGACTCAGTTGGTAATAGATGTGTAGCACAGTTAAGCTTAGATAACTGACCGAGGGGTTTTCTGTTCACAAGGCAGAATTTATAGCTATGGTATGGGTGCTGCAGTGGGTGCAGTTTCCATATGTGAAGAAATGGAAACTGTTAAGCATGTTTTGATGGACTGCTCCAGCTATTTTATTGAGACAAATATTATAAACATTAAGACTTTTCTCCTAAAATCAGTAATCGACTTGTATCATTAGGAAGTTTTAAAGGTTTTTTTTTTATCTAAAGTTCTGCACCCAAATGGACTACTCGTAAGGATTTAATCCTTGATGTACATTTAGGAAGTACCTGAGGAGGGCAGCAATACGCCTGTGTTCCGTCCTGCCTGCCGGAATTCCACAAAGAAGAAGATAAAGAAGGCAAAACAACTCCGCATGTAGCTAACATTTACAATAAACATTTTTTAGTTGTGCCTCTAACTTGACAAATTATTCCACCTGGGAAATATTTCGTATAAGCAGAGAAGATTTTCTTTAATGTTTCTAATTACATGCTGGCGAGAACAAACAACGCGGGCAGAATTACACTGGGCAGCTAGGGTTAGCCAAAGAAGCTAACCAGCTAGCTCCCATTAGCTGCAATGGCAGCGTCCACTCCTCCAGTGATTTCAGCTCCTGTATTAAGGTCTGTGTTTCTTTGTAGGTCTTTTGAACGTATTTATGTAATGATTTTGAGACACGTAGACAACAGTGGCTTCTGCATGCATTTAAAGTGTTGTTAAATAAACGCCGTAATCGTACAAATTTAGCCTTAGGTTAGATACATTTTTATGAGTCTGGTGGTACTAAAGAAACCGATTTGAATGCCTGAGCCTTTTCTTTGCAGATAGTGAGATTTTTTTAGTATTGGGAAAGGCAGAAGGTGGTGTAATATGGCTAACTGAAGCAAATGGCACATGAATTCTGTCTTCTTCAGAAGCACCAGTGATGGGAAGAGTTCAGTGATCATTATGTGTGACAGGGCACAGGGTCTGCTGTGAACACTGGCTTTTATTGTTTAAGGTGCACTCTCTTGTAAGAGCTGTGCAAGCCCCGGCTTAGTCTCCCATCATCTGCTCCTCTGTTGTGATTATTGTTTTCAATCTCTATCACTTCAGTCAGAAGCAACGCAGGGCTGCTCTGAGGAAAGAGAGGAGGAAACGGAAACGCCAGGCTCTCGCCCATGCTAGAGAACGAGGTATGTGATAGATGTATGAGTCCAGGTTGTGTTGTTCTCATTTGTCTAGTTGCGGTTGTTAAGCAAATTCTTCACCACCATTTCTCTGTTACAGATTTAAAAAATGGAGCAAGCCCTACTCCTGGAGAAGAAGACGAAGTAAATGAAGACGGTGAGGATGACGATGTTGCAGAGGAAGAAAGGTAGGGCCATACTGACGCTGCTCTGAAGCTGCTCATTCATTGATAGCAGCATAGACCATTTTGCTGCACATGCTGGATGTGTTTGATTTTGTATTTATTTACCTTTAGACAGCGTCTTCATGAACAGTGGCTGGAAAGAGAGCGGATTGCCCAAGAGGAGTTCAGACTGCATTTGGAGAAGGAGGAAACAGCAAGGAAAAGAAAAGAGGAGGAGGAGGTATAGGGATGGGAATTGACAGGAATTTAGCGTTACTTATTCCGTTATCAATATCAATTATGGATTTAATTCCTTATTGATTCTCTAATCAATTGTCATTGAGTTAGAGAATAAAATGTAGTACAGATGTAGCTAAATGTATATGAGAGAGCCTCTGAGCCAGTCTCACTCTGGCAGACCTCGTCAACTAAATGTTAATACGAGATGGAGATTATTCATACAGTATGGCGCTAACATATTACAATCAACATGACCTGGAGAAGTTTTATGTTGCTTGTGCCGTAAGTTTCCCCTCGAGAGTCGCCACCGTCGCTAAGCAGCGTACCAAAGACATTACAGTAGTGCAAATTAACTGTGTGGTCAAATGTTTGAGCATGTTGGAGGCATTTCTCCCCTTTGTTATGATCAAAGCTCTGCACGTGTGCCTGATCTTGCTTGTTTCATTCAGTCATTATTCTGGTGAACATGACCAGTTTAGTCTAGCTCAGTCCAGCGCACAGCATCCTGCTGCTGTAAATATTGACTGGAGACCCCAGCAAATCCATTGTTCTGTTTGAGTAATGGCTTTTACAAACTGCAGTTCAGATCAGAATTTTACTGAGCATTTTTAATTATTTACATTTAAAAACATATTATATTTCATTTCACTTTTGTATGGGATAAATGCCCAGTACAGCTGACTGGATAAAGACAGTCCAGGCATGATGGCCATACCAGCTTGATTTAAAAGAGCTGCATTTGTGGTGAAAGGGGGAAAAAAGCAATTCATGGCACCAAAATGAATGGAAATGACAGCACAGTGGAAATGATTTGCAATAAGAATTCCAAATAACTGTCTTTATGTCTCTTTGTGTCTGTAGCGGATGATAAAGGAGGAATGGGAAGAGCAACAGAGGCGAGAACAAGAAGAAAAAGAGCAGAAGCAGCAGGAGAAGCGAGACAGAGAGGTGATATGGGCTCCAGGAGGATAGAAACAAAAAAGACATATATATCCTCTTCTACATAATCTTGAGATTAAGCTAATGAACCGGCTTAATGTCTCACCCACTGATTGTTTCTTTTGTAACGTGTTTGTGCAACTTTTCCTTGACTGAACCATTTTACTCCTTAACTGAGATACACTCAAAGAGAAAACCCTCAGCTCTCACAACAAGGATGTATCTTTTATATTGTGTGAAAGCTGTGAAATCGCTCCACTAGTGTTGAAAGGATACCTCCCATTAACAACTTTTTTTGTGCCTCTCAGTCTCTGTGAACGTGGTCTTAACCCACAGAAAACAGATATGCTGCAGTTATATTGCCTTCTACACATTTTCACCAGCCGTGTCTTTACACCATTTGTAGGAGGCTGTTCAGAAAATGTTGGATGAAGCTGAAAATCAGGTATTCACACACACAAACACGAGTAAAAACTGTCTGTCTTAGCCACAAACCCCTCAAAGTATCATATAGTACATATATACTACTGGTATTTGTCTTTTAATGGGACTTAACTTGAATCAGTTAAATAAAGTTCAGTTAAATGTCACTAACAGTGGAAATTCTCCCAAGCCATCATGACTTCAGAAATAAACTTTGAAAATAAATCAGACGCAGAATGATAGTAACTCATTTCCAGTATATTGTATTTTGTATATGTGCAGATTAGCAGGAAGTAGGGCTGTTCGATATAACGATATATATCGGATGACGATATAAAAACGTCTATCGTTTCATTTTACGCTATCATTTGTTTCGTGGTGTCGCAAAATAAACTGTTTACGGCAATATCTTTTCATCGTTTTGATGGTCACTGTAGTGGCTATAACTTCTTAAAGTTCTCTCTTTCTCTTATATTTAATATAACCACACTACAGACGGACAAGCGACGTGTCTGCTTGTTTATTTTCCACATAAACCTTTCACAATAAAGCTCAAGATCCTGTTGAGACTTTTCAAAATAAACTGAATCACGTGAAAGAGTATGCAGAGTATTTACGGATGAGAAGCAAAAAAGAGTCGTCAGGTGCTAAAAAATAAACCTTAGACTCAAACGTTAGAACAGGCTTTTCCCCGCAGCACGCCGTGTAATAAATACTCACAAAGAAAACGGCGGCTGTTACAACTTATGTCTAAAAATGTATAGTTTCATTACTAAACTAACTAAACATCACTAAAACACTCGACTCCAGGTACACAACGCCCAGCTGGAAACACTTCACGCAAGTCGAGCTGCCCGAGATTCACAGAATTTACAGAAAATGTAAAATTTTTGTGATTTATGTCGTTATCGGATGATAGATGTCTTATATGGGGATATGAGATTTTGGTCATATCGCACAGCCCTAGCAGTAAGACTTGTAGTTACTTCTCAGGAAATGGAAAATATATTGCTTTATTTTTTAAAAAAATTGCTTTTCTATCAAATCATCAGGGAGTGTGATAATTTTTTCTTTTTCTGTTTAACCAAATATAGAGATTTGGAACAGACCTGGTTTAATGACAAAATATTATTTTAATATTGTTAAATGTTAGTTTAACAATATTAATATTGGCTGTGTACAAATAAAAGCTTTAGGCCTTTGTTGTCCAATGTTTTTAAACTCAGCCAGATACTTTCATTTGAGCCTACTGTTCATTTTGATGACTTTTGATGGGCTTTTCTGTCACAAGGTTGGCCTTAAATTTTACTCAAAGTGGTATTTAGAAGCTCTGAAGTTTTTTATTTCACTTGTTTATACCTAGAGACGCATTTAAATTCTTTCAATTCAGTTTACTCTAACTAGTGTGACGGCACTTTGGTGTCATTGCAAACATCTCTAAATCTAATAAAAGACTGAAAACTAAGACAGTTTAAATATTGCTCATGGCCTGTCTTACAGCTGGATAATGGTGGCCCGTGGATGAACCCTGAGGCTCCTGTGACAGTGAACTCTGAGAACTTTGGAACGGAGCGTGACGTAGCCAACTGTCCGTTCTTCCTCAAGACTGGAGCGTGTCGATTTGGAGACAGGTACTGATGGGTTTTGGTTTCTTCTGAGTTGTTGATAATAATAATTATAACCATAATAATAATAATAATACATTTCTTTTTAGGTGTCTTTCAAAACACTCAAGGTTACCTCACCCAGAAGAGTTAAGAATAATAGGAATAGACAAAAAATCCTATAAAATTAAGAGCAAAGTTGCAATCAGAGTGAATAAACTAGTTTAAAGAGGTGCGTTTTGACATGCCACTGATATGCCCTTGAAAAGAAAGCGTCCTGGCAAGGATGACCCCCAGACTCTTAATCTGAGGCGTGGGAGAAGCTAAGGAGTTGTCAACAGGGAGTGAATAGCTGTTACGTTTGGACAGTGAGAAGAACCTCTGTTTTATCGCTGTAGTTTGAGAAGGTTGCAGTAGAACCAGGATTTAATTTCCCGGAGGCAAACACAGAGGGCAGTGAGTGGGAGGTGCTGGTAGTTTGGCATGTGGGTAGAGCTGGGTTTCATCGGGATAACAATGGAAACCGATTTATGGAAGATTTGACCAAGAGGAAGGAGATGAGAAAAAAAAGGCGGCTCAGGACAGATACCTGGGAGACTCCAGTAATAACTGGAAATTGATGGAATTTGAATTTTTCAGTTGAATGAACGGAGTGCGTCCAGTCATTTCAATAGGAGCTAGTCTGTCAAGAAGAATGTTATGTTAGGTTAAATTACACGATGACACTAAAGTGGCCTTTCCCCACGTATTTGAATGTCTTCTCTCTATGAATCCAGATGTTCTCGAAAACATACGTATCCTGCAACCAGTCCAACGCTGATGATCCGCGGAATGTTTAGAACGTTCGGTATGGAAGAGTCGCGCCGTGATGACTATGACATCGATGCTTGTTTGGAGCACAGCGAGGAGGAGATGCAGGAGTCCTTCCTCGAGTTCTACCACGATGTTCTGCCAGAGTTCAAGAGCGTCGGCAAAGTGTTGCAGTTTAAGGTGAGATGACATCAAGAAGCTTTCCTCCCGTCATCCTGTCTGTGTTGTAAAACAGACTCACTTATTCCCCCTAAAAACATTTATAGATTTCACCTATTCCTCTCCTCTAATAGGTCAGCTGTAACTATGAACCACACCTGAGAGGAAACGTTTATGTTCAGTTTGACACGTAAGAAGTCACTCAGCCACTTCCCGTCTCTTTGCAATTGAAGTAACACTTCAGAGAAAACACATCATTCTTTGACTTGTTGTCTCTCCAGAGAGGAGCAATGCAAAGAGGCCTTCATCAAATTCAATGGGAGGTGGTATGCAGGCCGGCAGCTTCACTGTGAGATATCACCTGTTACACGGTGGAAGAATGCCATATGTGGTGAGCTACTTTTTAATGCTGACGGCATGCAGTTTCACTTGAAGACATTCCCACAGTGTTTAGCTTGTTTGTTTATCTTCTCAGGATTGTTTGACAGACACAAGTGCCCTAAAGGGAAGCACTGCAACTTTCTGCATGTATTTCGAAACCCTGGGAATGAATTCTGGGAGGCTGACAGGGACCTGCACATGTCCCCTGACCGCAGTGTAAGGGGCAGTCACAGAGACGGGTGGCATTCGAGCCGATCATGGAGGCAGCGTCATTACAGCAGGAGCCCGGTGAGATCGGAGAGATCTGAAAGGAGACGAGACGAAGACAGGCGAAGGAGCAGGAGCAGAGAGAGGAGGCCGTCATACCACAACAGAGAGGACACACGGTCGTCCAGATCCAGACACAGTGACAGGTGGAAAGACAGGCGAAGGAGCAGGAGTAGAGGCAGGTCAAGGAGCAGAAGTAGAGACGACGAGCAAGACAGGCAGAGAAACAGAAGTAGGGACAGAGAGAAGGAGCATAGGGGTAGAGATCAAGAGAGAAACGGTAGAGGCACGAATGACGTCGCTCACATGGGAACGAGAGAAAAGTCGAGAAGTAAAGAAAGAAGCCCCAAATCACCTGATAAAAGTAAGAAAAAGTCTAATGATGACAGCAGCACACATCGTCGCCACAAACACTCCAAAAAGAGCAAGAAGAAGAGCAAGAAGAAGAGCAAGAAGAAAAGCCATTTGCCTGAAGAGACAGCTTCATCTGGAGAGTCAGAAAAAGAGGAGTCAGGGGAGGAGACGGTGGAAAACCTTTCAACATCAAGTCCCAGTGGAGAGAGAAATGAGATGGAGCGAACGCAGAAAAACAGTGAAAGTGAATAGTCCGAGGAAATGTGAGGTGACCTCACTGAAAATATGCTCTTTTTGTAGCGCACATTTTAAAATCTACAAATCAGATTTTCCTAAAAATAACTTCTAGAAATTTGTGCACACTGCGACACATCTTACCGATCTGGATTTTAAATGAATAAAAAGGGATGCATTGTAGTTTGTGAGTCCTGAGATCACTGTATTCTGATGCGTTAATCCAGTTTAAAATGCAATGATTTTAATGTAGTCAACATTGGCACTTGTCAACACCTTTTGTGTACATATGTGAATATTTTCAAGATGCTCATTGTGGCACTACATGTTACGTAACAATATAAAAACAAAAAAACCCTTGCTTTTTGAATACATTTATTTTTAATATCTTTCAAATATAAGAAAAACGTGTTGTCAGTGTTTAATACAAAAACTGATTTCTTTTGCACAAATCAAAGTTTGATAATACGAGTGTTCAACGACAACAGTTTTGATCTTGATAAGAAAAAAAAGACTTCCATACAGTTTGAGATGAGTAACTATTTAGAAGTTGTTTCCTTGCACATTACAATGATATACCTGATATCTGCAGTTCATGTTTTTATGTTCCCACTCCATGAAGAAAGTCATGATCAACATGTCTGGGTAGACTGGAGTAATTCCATAATACTGGTTTATTGTAGCCAAATAATTCCCACATCCGTGACATCAACCTGCAGTTATAAATCCCTTTTTTCTGCTGTTTTAGCCTCCTATAGACACCACTGAGAAGGTAAAACACAGTGTTCTTTGGTCATATATAAGTCGTTAAGAGTAAGCCAGAGCTATATAATACACAAAATAGTGGTTTTATTTGGGTCACTATCCTAACCTAATTCAGCACTAAGGGAGGAACTGGACCTAAGATATACTTTCAGAGGCTTTTACAAACCTCAGTGTATGTTTTTTGTTGTTTTTTTGTAAGGACAATAAGTCGATGGTCAAAAACACTACAGAAATACAGTATAGCAAACGTGACACTAGTTACACAGAAACCACCCACATATAGCAAACAATTAGTCTGGAAATGTGAATATGAAATGATTCATTTGAAGAGAAGAATCACAGAAAATAAACCTGTATTAAGTGTTAACACAAACACAATGATTATTAAATGTGTAATTTTAGTTACTGGGTTCAGTTTAGCCATGAATAAGTGATTGTAACAGTGTCTGTGGTTCCCTTAACAGCACTGGCCCCAGCTGGTAGCTTTGATGCATTACCATTACATATGCAACATAGGAACTGGTTATTTGTTCACTCATTCAGTCCAACCCTTGTACCTGAACAGTTTCAGATGAATGTGTTTTGTTTTTTTTAACTTGTTATGCCACTTAACACTGGCTGTGAGACAATGAGGCATAAAAAGGTATCATGGGATGAATCAGCATCATCTCTACACGTAACAAAAACTATGCAAAGGACCAATTTCAAATTTTATCTTTAAGCACTAGGAGCCTGTAACCCCGTAAAAAAAAGCCAAACACCATTTTTCGCCATTTCTTCAGTTGAATCTCAAAAATGTCAGAAATAACAGTCTGAAGTACAGAAAACTGCACTTTTGCAGCAACAAGTCAATTCCCAAAGAGCTGTTATCTTGGCGTGGTGTGCAGTGGAGCCTTAAAACTGAGGAAACTGGACAAAACGATCTACAGCAACATCCAAAGAAGAGCTTTAAATGTCCTTTCAGAACTATTCCTGAACACTAGTTTCTTGCACAGCTGATTTAAGAGAGTTCAGGCTGCAGACTCAAGATGATTAGACCAAACAGAATTTTTCAGGCTGTATTTCCACATGTTTTTACATGTTTCAACAAACCACTGCACCCATATTCAATTTTCCTAGCAAAGCATAAAGAATTGAGGGGTAGTTCAAGATTTTTTGCAGTGCTGTATTTTCATGATTCTTTGCTATGTGATGGTAAAACATGAGAAGCACCAGCTGCAGACACAACACCTTAACAAGCACTTAAGGCCAAACATGTACAGCTCTGCAGTGGGTGATGATGGATTATCTAATGATGCTGGAGTTCATGTCGGTGCTACATTGTTCTCTGTGGAGTTTTAAGTTAAGGGAGTGAAGTACGCCGAGTGCTGCTGAATACAGTGAGGGAGCTTGCACATAGGGAACACATCAGAACCACAGTTGGCACTACACTGAAAGGACAATACAGGATAGTACAGTACATAGATTGTGACCACACTCACACACACACACACAACACTGACACGGTAAACAGGAGAGGACTTAGTCGACACACGGAGGTAAGAATCAAACAAGGCAGAAACACGTTGATCTATGTCAGCCCAATCTCTTCTAAAACGCTCCGTGGTGCCTCAGCCTCCTGCAGAAGAAGACAGACAAGTGCTCTTTAAAGCTGTTACGTATGTCAGGTTCTTTAAGTACCCCTTACAAAACATAATTAATAGTGCATGAGTCATAATTGCTAGCTGCTGAATCTAAGATGGGAACAGAGGGGCTTTACAGTGAGTTACAGGCATGCACAGCCAGTCCTGTTATAACAATAGTGCTGCATGCTTTGCTTTAAATAAATCAAAGAGCACTGAATCTGTCCACTGGAAACAGCCACCTAGGCAGAACGTTCTTTAGTGCACTGGCACAAGAGATAGAAAGAGGTATTAATCAAGTCCTGCAGCCTAAGAATAAACATGATAGCAGGTGCAGGTGAGTGTAAGGTGGAGAAAGCCAGCCTTCTGTTTGGATCAACACTTGAATTGTTGAGTACAATTAATTCTATTTTCACAAAGTCAGTGCTCCAGCAACCAACAGAAAGTTACTGAATTTTGGCAAATGTTTCATTTTGAAAGGATTTGTCTGTTTTTGTTTCAACTTATCAAATGTGAAGAACTGCTAGCTTTCCTTGTCTTACTTGGCAGTGAAGATAACACCTTTAGATTTTTGAAGAAAACAAAAAATCCCCCACAAAAACCAAACAAACATGATAGGTTTATCAACACTTCGTCATTGCAACCCCCTGTTCATAGTTACAGGTCAATTGGATTTATTTATCTGCTGAAGAAGAACTGAGTGTACCTCCTGCAGCAGGTCAGCCTGCTCGATGGCCTTCAGCACATTCTTCTTGGATGTTTCCTGGGCCTCTCCGCCCAGCAGGAACTCGTCCAGGATGAAGTAAGCCTTCTCAAAGTTGAAGATGATATCCAGCTCGCACACCTGAGAGTCCACAAAACAACAAATAGCAGCAGATCAGAGGAGACACTGTCCCTACTAAAAATCCTTGCAGTAACATTTTAACAGATTTCCCCTTCTGATACCATCGATCAGCATGTTATGTGCGTGATGTTGACACGACTTACGCTGCCAAAATATTTGTCCAGCAGCTCCACGTATCTGTGGATGATCTCGAGTGTGATCAGCTCATTATCCTGATCCTCGACGGCACAGCAGAAATACAGGCTTGCGTATCTAGTACACGAAGAAAGAAGATATGCAAAGCATCAATATTTGTGACATCAGCAGTATTAAGGAATGCATTAAGACTGTTCAGTGTATATTTGGTAATAAAAGTCAGTCACAAAAAAAAAGAAAGAAGCATAGACACCAAGCTAAAATGTCTAATGTCTGGTCCAGAATGTGATAGAAAGAGCATGCAGCGATATCACAACCCAGCAAGTGTCTGCAGGGCATTTAAAAATGGGCAGGAAGTTAATGCTGAGATAATACACTCACAATCTTTTCTTTTAATACACCTGTTCAAATGCTCCGTCATGCAAATATTTGATCAGACAATCACATGTTATGAATACAACACATTTAGGCTTGTGTATTGAACTGCATGTGTGTGTATAATACTGCACTATCATGTGGCTGAACCGTTTGTTTGTTTTGCCTTGATAAAGTGGACATTTACATTACTTATGAGTCATATGTTCACGACAAATCAGGCAATCTCCCCATCTACTCTGTACTCCGTTTTTTGGCAGTTATTATTTGAAAAGAAGGTGTTTTTGGCTTCCACGACACACCAGAAGGTGAGCTCTAGATGCCAGAAATCTCAGTGCCTGACAAAATAATCACTGAATCACCAGCTCCCATTAACCACCCCAACAAACAGTCGGAGTGAAGCTTATCTAGGCCATTTACAAGTTAAACATAAATGCCTGAAGTCAACGATCCTCTTCCTAATGGCTTTTGAAGGTTTCAACCACACCACAGTCATCATGAATTCGGGAACTGAAACTACGCAGTTCTTCCTTATAAACGTCTGTTGTCATGTGAACAGTGTTTTATACAAGTTAAAACACCTTTCCACGAGCCAACTCCATCTGCTGCTGAGACGCAAACTGAAACAATGAAAAAAACTAGTATGTGCACCTGGAAACTGGCACTTCACCAGTACCAGCCCTTATTATATTGCTAACAAAGAGGGACAACCATTCAGGAGCCGTCAGACGAGAGCCATTTTGGCCTGACATGAACAGTACACTTGATCAGCTATGATACAGCGAGCAGGAACGCGCTGACAGGCCTGTCAAGAGTCCACATATCAGGCACCACTGTTTCACCCTGGAAGAACTGTCCCCATCCCACATGTGCCAATATGGACATCTCTTGGCAAAGCACTCAATCCTGACTTCCCTAATGAATTTCTATTTCAGTTTATGTAAGTCACAACTTGTAGTCCACAGATTACTGCTTCAAAATATGGCAACAGGTAGTCTGGTGCTGCTTGAGGCAGCAGGGGAGAAGCGAGAGGGAGTCTAATTAACACAGGTAATTAATGTTGGGAATTACTCTCTCTCCTTTAGGTGTAGTGTGTTGGAATCCACAACCTAGGGGAAGAAGCACTGGAAGGGAGTGGGAGTTTGCTCCCACCAGTTGGGATTTAGAGGAGCACGCATCTTGCTTTAATTCATCTCACTACTCTCCTCCCTCCTGAGGAGAACCGACGACTGGCACACTAAAAAACAAAATCCCAATAAATAATTTTTTTGACCATTTCTCAACTCAAGTGAACCAATACAAGTTACTTTGTAGAAAACAAATGTTGGTGCTAATAAGCATTACTTAATCTTTAAGGGCAATATTGTGCTGTTGCATTTGAGGATCTGATCTACTCTTACCTACTGCACCAAAAGCTGAGTGCAAATGCCACTTGTGATAGAAAGGGAGAGCGTGCAGCTGTATCACAACTTGCATTATACACCTACCTTTTGTACACAATCTTCAGGTCTCGCCACTCCAAGAAGCTGCACATTTTGGGCTTCCTGGCCAGTATAGTCTGGACCAGATCCCTGGAGATCTTCTTTCTCTCCTTGTCTGACAGAGGAACATACCACTTCTGCAGCCGCAGCTTTCCCTGCCGGCTGAACAGCAGCATGAACTGCATCTGCGGGAGGAAGTCCAGTTATACAAGAGTGAGATAAACACCGACTGAAGGAGTTATTTGACGATGAGAGAGAAAGATGAGGAGAAATTAAAATAGCTAGAGGGGGTGCAATCAGCAAGCCTGTGGCAACTACTGAATAACACGTTGGCATGGTATGAAACTTTGAATAACCCAGTTGACTTAGTCACAACAATAAAGAGAGACGTCCAAACAGGAAATACACACATTCTTGACAATGATAACACGACCGCCTAGGTGCCCGTTAAGAATGTGTCCAACTTGAAATATTTTACGTTGAAGAGGTTTTAATACAAAGTTGCATTAGCTAATATCAGCTAATCTTAATTGACGGCCACATAATAACCTCAACAACGCGTCTCGTGTCATTTGCGCCCCATCCTGCGAAGGGTTATCTAGCTAAAGCATGCACAAGAAGTAAACACCAGTCTTTACCTTCGACCAAAACGTGAAGATAATCACTCGGATGACTGCTAACTTCACTATGTCCCAGCGAAATACACAAAAAAAACGAGTGAAGAAGCTGCTTCTGTGTATCTGCGGTTTAGCCCCTCACCCAGCTTGTTGCTAAACTAGCTAGCGGGTAGTGGTCGACGGTAAGCAGCGATTGAGACGGCTGCGCTGTGATTGGTTTAAAAAGCCACAGCTCTGAAATTTGATTGGATTAAAGATTCCGTTATTCGTTACGTTATTACAAGGAAACAGCAATGGCTGCCTGTCTGTGTAAAGTTACCACTCAGTCAAATTTACTTCTTCTTGTTCAGTAAAGAGCGTATATTAATCCAAGTAACTGTTTTCACGATATATATGACCCAACTCTAAACATAGTTGCGATTCAGTGTAATTTTTACATTTTTGATGATTTCTTTGAAATTTTCTTTGTCCAGGGTTTAATGATTATACGGCGTACATCTTTTATTACTTTAAAAAACTAGAACTGGTGCACAAGTTTGAATTTATTTTGATTTTCTCAATTCCACACAAGGTGGAAAGTATACATACATGTTCACATACATACTTACACCCCCACTAATATCTGGTTATCCATTTGCCAGTTGCAGCTTGACCAGATGCGTTTGGTTGCCATTAACAAGCTTCAACAATGCGGCATTATTTTGGCTCGATATTTGAACACTCTTCTCGGCTGAAATAGTGGAGTTAATTGAAATTGATTGGTTTCCTGTCACGGATCCAGCTTTTAAGCATAGTCCACAAATTTTCAAAAGGGTTGAAGTCAAAGCTTTGGGAAGACCGCTCTAAAAGGATAATGTTAGCTTGCATTATTAATTTCAAAACCAGTTTTTATGTGTGTTTGGGTAATTGTCCTGTTGGAATACCCAGTTGTGTCTAGCTGTTGATTTCATTATCTGTGACTACGTCCTCATTTTAGTTTTGACAGCATTTCTAATAGATAATGGCAGATGGCTTGAGCATGAATTGAGGCTGCAGTTTGGGGAACTGTTTTGCCTCAGAGGGAACTGGTGGTGGCTCCTGAGCCACGCAGATCTCCATGTACTAATGACAAGTATATAAATTGAAAATGGAAGGGAGGGTCAGGCACACAAAATGCAGCTTGTAGTGTCTGGGGGTCATATTTAGACAGAGATCCAGAAAGGAGGTGTATGGAGATGTGGTCCCAGTCCTGAAATTCAGATAAATTTATCTCCAATTGAGGTGAAGTTGACAAAGTTGGAAGTAGTCCTTCTTCATTATTCCAAAATAGCTTTAGAGTATGATGCTACCACCACCATGCTTGACAGTTGGAGCAGTTTTCTGTAAAACATGTTCGAAAGGGGTTCAAATCCATCATCTGTCTCGGTCTTTCTATGTGGAGTTTGCATGTTATCCTGGTGTTTGCGTGAGTTCTGGGTATGCGGGGTTGCAAATTAGTGGCTTAAGTTGATAGGTTATTCTAAATTGGCTACAGGTGTTATGTGTGTGTGTGAATGGTTTTCTGTCTCTCTGTATCAGATGGGTGAGCTGTCCAGGGTGTACTCCACCTTGCCTTGTGGCAGATGGGATAGACTCCAGTCCCCCCAGAAAATTCAAAATCATTATGAACTTGTGCACCCAATTCTTGTTTTTTCTTTTTCTTTTTTTTTAAACAGCCATTAGAGACATATGCTATGCAATCATTCCTGGAAAAACAACTTTTTATGATTTGAAGAAATCATAAAAAGCCTCAAATTACCATGACATCTTTTGACCACATAATTTTATGCATTTAACTATGTATATTTCAATTAAATGGTACTTTTAACTGTTCTTTACTTTCCCTGATTTTGAAATCAAGATATACTGGAGATACATTTACTTGAGTACTGGACTAAAATACTGAATCTGCACTACAGCACTGTAATATAGTCCTGGTATACATAAATAATAAACAACAAGGGAAGTTTATGTCTGTTTGTGTTTTTTTCTGCTGGTATATCTTTCTCAGATTATACGTAAAAAGTCGTCTATACTGTCAACATTTACACAATACATCAACTGTATATTCTTTATAGTGATAATGACTTTAAGGACAAAGAACAATGCATGAATTACGTTTTAAGCAATGTGCAAAAGTACAGTTCTGTGGTACTCAACGAGTGTTTTCATTTAATGCTGCTTTAAAATCGAGGGAAATAAAGGGAAACTCTAGCTGAATGCATTTAATAGCTAGATACTTAAACTATTTACATTTTGTATATAAAATATAAACCCCCAAAACCCAACAGTACATGTAATAAATCTATTGTTTGTGAAACGAGCCATATAAACTAGCAGGATACTCGGTCAGTTTTCCCCATTTCTAAATAAAGTGAATACGCGGCTTAAAGCCTTGGAGTGGAAGGAACGAAAGTGATCTGGCGCCCCCTGTCGTCGAGCAGGGAAACAACAAGAACATAATGTATTTTTCTTTTACAGATTGGATGTACAGCCGCTCACAGACGTTTCTGCCCTCTGTGTTTGTGAGACCTCACGTCCTGTCTTCTGCGAGCCCTGACTCGTCTTACCAGGCGCTTTGACCGGGCCGTGTGGTCCTGTGTGCCTGAAAATTCATGCTGCAAGCTTAATGTTACGTGTTGATATCGACAAAAAAACAGCTGGATGCTACCCGGCTAGCGAGCGCTAGCAGAGCAGCCTCTGCGGGGATCGAGTCGGCGAAACAGGAGTGGGAGGATGGGTCGCTGCCTGGTAAGACAGCCTACCTAATTTATTAAGCGAGAGCCGGTAGTGTTCGAAGCTTCGTTTACAAAGAAGTAAATGCCGAGCTTTAAGCGGTCGCTGAGACTTAAACTGTCGTTTTGTGTGCAGTGATCAGAGAGGATGAGGAGTCGCAGTAACTCAGGAGTGCGGCTGGACGGCTATGCCCGGCTGGTCCAGGAGACTATCCTGTGCCATCAGGTGAGTTCAGACATGCACCAGAGACGAGGCAGCGCAGTAAAGCTGGAGCACTTCCGCAAAGGTGGAGTGGAGTAAGGGCCCCTTTTTGCGCAATGTTACTGAGAAACGTTTGAATGAAGCAATAATTCAAGATCTAAATGTGGAAGCACTTATTTCAAAATGAAGTATGTTGCATACTGTGATTACAGTTACTGATGCGTTACTACCCGTGTACTAGTTTAGATGTTGCAGAATGTACGTGGTTGTATATGAAATACTTTCATACATTATTTCAGACACTATAGTCCATTTGAACGTTTAAGTCATGTAAACTTTAAACGAGACAACACCAGGACCCAGTGTTATGGATTTCAGTTATGCACATATCCTTGATTTCTCCTTCAGAAGCATTCTAGGTATGGACATGTTTTGCAGCCCATATAGGTTAGAGTTCAGCCAAAAGTGAGCTGCACAGAAATAAACAAAGTGTGGGCAAAGTTCAGGCACTGGAACAGGCTTAGGACTGGAAAGCTATGTACTGTTATCTCCTGGCTCTTGAGCTCACATTGAGGCACCATCAACAGCTGTCTATGCTAAACTGTGACCCAGAGAGTACTCAGCTGATAGGAAACAGCATCAGCTTTCCAGGCATAGCATATACTGATATGTCGGGGTATATGTTTAGTGAGAGAGGAGGGGGTGACACACTGATGTCTCAGGCTCCTCCTAAATATAAACTGCAACTGCTGTATTATTATTATTGGGCACACATCAACTTTCAGTAACTTTCAGTCAAAGGACTTTGATACTTTTTAACAATTTCAGTTTGAATTGTAATCAGTGGGACCATGCTTTCATTCATTTTCAGCTCTGCTCATAGGAGATCACAATAACACATATAAGAATAATAGCTATGAATCTGTGATAGCCAAAGAAGAATCACGCCTCGTCGACTTAAAGTGTGTATTAGGTCCTGTCTGTGCGTTGTAATCGTTGGTGGAGTGTTCAGCAGCTAGCTAAAAAGCTGCAGCTGTGTGTCTTGTCGTGGATCTTTCACACATGGATTATAGAAAAAAGCTCCTGCTCCTTCAAGCTTGACCGAAATTTGCACTAGCCCACATGGATAAGTCAAATACTCTCTGGAGAAAAATGTTATGGTCAGATGAGACAAACATTGAGCTGTTTGGAAGAGTAAAGCTGAGGCTTTCAAACCTAAGAACACTTTACAAACTGTCAAGCATGGTGGTGGTAGCATCATGCTCTGTAGCTGTAATGCTGCTTATGATACTGGTACATTGCACAAAGTGGATGGAATAATGAAGGATGACTATCTTCAAATTCTTCAGCTTCACGTCAGATCAACAGCTAGAAAGTTGAAACTTGGACACAGTTGGGTTTTCCAACGGGACAATGATCCCAAACACACCAGAATTGGTTTTGGAATGGAGCTTCTGTAAAGGCCTTCCCAAAGCCCTGACCTCAGAAATGTTAAAGATTTGTGTTTGTGGTACAATCATTCAACTCTCAAAAAACCAAACAAAACCCTAAATCACAATTATGATCACATTCAGGCTCATGATGAGTGCAGGTAAACTATTGACCACAACTGTATCCTTCACACCACCCCTGTCGTTACTATTAGTTAACATGTCACATGTGTCTTGGTTTCAGAATCCAGTGACAGGACTTCTTCCTGCCAGTGCGCAGAAGAAGGATGCCTGGGTGAGGGATAATGTTTACAGTGTCCTGGCGGTGTGGGGGCTGGGAATGGCCTACCGGAAGAATGCAGACCGCGATGAAGACAAGGCCAAAGCTTATGAACTGGAGCAGGTGTGTTTGCAACATAAATAGAGCGAGTGAAAAAGGGGCCTGTGCATTCTTTCAGTTACGACGGGTTAAATATTTGAGGATAGCAATACTTAGTAAAACTTTAATGAATGTGGGCTGTAGTTAAGCTAAAGTATCACATTAGCTCAACATAAAATATTGTTTTACTCTTAAATAGCTTAAAGTGAAAGTGAATATAAAAGAATCACATTTGTTTTGGTCAGCACTGCGATCATAACGTTTTAGTAGGCTTTAGAAAGAAGAGGATTAAAGAAAGAGGAAAGGATTATTTCACTCTGACATAACATAGTGCACATGCTGAACATGCACAGGCTTTCACCCATACATACAACCTACAGTGCATGTACTGAGTGCCATCAATCAACAAGTAGCACTCTGCCCCTAATTATAGAGTAAG